GGACCCACCCACTTCCGCCTTAGAGCCAGGGTCTTTCCCGGTGCGCCCAGGCCGCTGCTTTCCGGTTCAGGGCGGATTCTCAGGCTGCGCCCGGAGTCAACCTGAGGACCTACAGGGCGACCTTCGGAAACCACAGCTCTCCAAGAGGGTAGGTGAGCCCACCCCGACCCGGGCCTGCCTTTGGTCTCTGAGAGGCTCGAGTAAAGCCGGCCGGCTGAATTGGGCCTCGAATGTGTTAGTTTCAAGTCCATCCTTGCTTTACGGGAGGAACACGATTCGGCAGAGAGATGACGATGTATAGATCTGAACGGCTTTCTTTTTCTTCTTAGTTTTAGTTGTATTTATTGTTATTCACCTGCCGTTGTCCCCATTTTCTCCCATTACTCTCCCCCACCCTACCCACCCTCACCTCCCACATTCAGTCCTACCCCCAATCCCATTGTCTTTGTCCATGGGTACGACATCCATGTTCCTTGATGACCCTTCCCCTTCATTCCCGATCATCCCCCTCCCCCTTCCTCTTTGGTCACTGTCAGTTTGTGCTTTACTACCATGTCTCTGGTTCTATGGTGCTCACTTGTTGATTTTATTGATTAGGTCCCACTTATAAGTGAGATCACATGGTATTTGTCTTTCACCGCCTGGCTTATTTCACTTAGCATAATGCTCCACAGTTCTATCCATGCTGTCTGGAAGGGTAGGATCTCCTTTTTCTCTGCCACGTAGTATTTCATTGTGTAAACGTACCATAGGTTTTTGCCCTCCTTGTTTACTGATGGGCACTTAGGTTGCTTCCAGCACTTGGCTAATATAAATTGTGCCGCTATGAACACTGGGGTGCATAGGCTCTTTTGGATTGCTGTTTCAGGGTTCTTAGGATATAATCCCAGCAGTGGAATTGCTGGGCCAAAAGGCAGTTCCATTTTTACTTTTCTGAGGAAACTCCATACTGTTTTCCACAGTAGCTGCATCAGTCTGCATTTTCACTAGCAGTGCACTAGGATTCCCTTTTCTCCACAACCACGCCAGCACTTTTTGCTCTTTTGTGCATGACGACCATTCTGACAGGTGTGAGGTGTTCATCTCAATTGTGGTCTTAATTTGCATCTCTCTGATGGCTACTGATGCTGAGCACCCTTTCATATGTCTTTGGGCCCTCTCTATGTCCTCCTTGGAGAAGTGTCTGTTCAAGTCCTTTGCCCACTTTTTAATTGGTTTGTTTGTCTTCCTGAAGTGGAGTCTTGTTAGTTCTTTATATATTTTGGAGATCAAACCCTTGTCCAAGGTATCATTGGCAAATATGTTTTCCCATACAGCTGGTTCCCTTTTCATTTTGCTGTTGTTTTCTTTAGCTGTGCAGAAGCTTTTCATTTTGATGAGGTTCTATTTGTTTATTCTTTCCTTTATGTTCCTCACTCAAGGGGACATATTGGTGAAAATATTGCTGCATAGAATATATGAAATTTTCCGGCTTATGTCTCCCCTAGGACTTTTAGATGTCATGACTGACATTTAAGTCTTTTATTCATCTTGAGTTTGTTTTTGTATATGGAGTAAATTGGTGGCCGTGTTTCATTTTTTTTCATGTAGCTGTCCAGGTCTCCCAACACCATTTGTTGAGGAGTTTATTTTTACTTCATTTTATGCTTGTGCCTCACTTATTGAATATTAACTGACCATACAAACAAATAATATCTATTTCTGAGTTCTCTAATCTGTTCCATTGATCTATGTGATGTTGTTATGCCAGTACCAGTCTGTTTTGATTACCATGGACTTGTAATATAGTTTGATATCAGGTATCGTGATTCCTCCTACTTTGTTCTTCTTTCTTAAAATTGCTGAGGCTATTCAGGGTCATTTATGGTTCCATATAAATTTTTGAAATGTTTGTTCTATGTCTGTGAAATATGTCATCAGTATTTTCATAAGGGTTGCACTGAATCCATAAATTTGGGGGGTTAGTATGGACATTTTGATGGTGTTAATTCTTCCAATCCATGAATATGGTATATGCTTCCATTTGTTTGTGTCTTCCTTAATTTCTTTCTTCAGTGTTCTGTAGTTTTCTGAGTAAAGGTCTTTTACCTCTTTAGTCTTTTACCACCTCGGTTAAGTTTATTCCTAGGTACTTTATTTTTCTTCTTGCTATAGCAAATAGGACTTTTTTCCTGACTTCTCTTTCTGATATTCATTGTTTGGGTACAAAAATGCCTTCAATGTCTGAATATTGAGTTTGTATCCCACTGTTTTGCCAAATTCACTTAATAGGTTGAGTAGCTTTTTTTGTGGAGTCTATAAAGTTTTCTATGTTCAGGATCATGTCATCTGCAAACGATGAGAGCTTTACTCTCTCCTTTCCAATTTGGATGCTTTTTATTTCTTTTTCTTGTCTTATTTCTGTGGCTAGAACTGCCAATACTATGTGGAATAGAAGAGGTGAAAGTGGACACCCTTGTCTTGTTCCTAATCTTAGTGGGGAAGCTTTTAGTTTTTGCCCAGTGAGTAGAATGTTGGCTGTAGGTCTCTCATATATGGTCTTTATTATGTTGAGGGGTGCTCCCTCTACTCCCACTTTGCTGAGTGTTTTTATCATAAATGGGTGCTGCACCTTATCAAATGCTTTTCCCCCATCTATTGATATGATCATGTGATTTTTGTCTTTCCTTTTCTTTATGTGACGTATCATGTTTATTGATTTGCAAATAACGTACTATCCGTGCATCCCTGGGATGAATCCTACTCGATCATGGTGTATAATCTTTTTAATGTATTGCTGGATGTGGTGTGCCAATATTTTGTTAAGGATTTTAGCATCTAGGTTCATCACTGATAGTGTCCTGTAGCTTTCTTTCTTTTTTGTGTCTTTGTCTGGTCTGGGGATTAGCATGGTGCTGGATTCATAAAAAAGAGTTTGGGGTCTTCCCTCTTATTAGATTTTTTTGGAATAGTTTGAGAAGGATGGGGATGAGCTCTTCTTTAAATGTTTTGTAAAATTCTCCTGTTAAACAGTCTGGTCCAGGGCTTTTGTGTGCTGGGAGCGTTTTTGTTTTTTTTTGTTTTTTTATTACTACTTCAATTTCACTAGCCGTTATCAGTTTGTTCATTCCTTCTGATGCTTGATTCAGTTTTGGAAGGTCATATGCTTCTAGAAATTTGTCCATTTCGCCCAGGTTTTCAAATTTCTTGATGTATAGTTGTTCATAGTACTTTCTTACAATCCTTTGGATTTCTGTGGTATCAGTTACAATTTCCCCTCTTTCACTTCTGATTTAATTTTTTTTGGTCCTCTCTCTTTTTTCTTGATGTGTCTGGTTAAAGGTCAGAACTGCTTTCAAAACAAGGGCCTGAGGGGTTAAGAGTTGACATCTATCCTGAAAAGCAGGCTGCGAAGAGCAGCAATCCTGCCTTCAGCACTGGGAGGCACCAGGAGGAGGAGACAGATAAAAACGGAAGTAATATCCCCTCTAGCGGTAAGTAAGGGAGGTGAGGGCTGCAGCCGCCAGCTCCCAAACTCAACAAAGGCGGCCTGGGCAGAGCTGGCAGGCTGAGCTAGGCCTTCATTTTTTTCTGGTGGTGGTCTCAGGTTAATGAGGGCCTTGGTTTAGGTGTGGGAGCCCAATTCAAAGAAGGGGAGCCAGTGCCTAAGGGGATTTAGGATTGTGACACTGAGGCGGATGGGGGACCGTCTCAGAGAGTAAGAGGCCAACTAAAATCTCAGCCCTCTTTTCAGCCCTGGGAGATTGGGATGTCAGCATGATGAGTTGCACTCACTTCTTCCCAGGCCATCTTATGGAGGGGATAGATTAGGTCGAGGGGGGCAACCTCCTGTCATGGGTGGCAGGGTTTCATGTCATGCCAAGTATCTCCAAAAGACAACTGGGGACTATGGGAATGTGCCACACTGTACTAGTGGGGACACAAAAAATCCTCCCTATTCTCCATGCTAGCATACCTCAAGGATAGGTGTCATGCAAGAGGGCCTTTTCATAGTCACTCAAGAGAAACAGGAAATTGAAGAGAGTGGCCCCAGGTTAATAGAATGAAAAATCAAGACCCCAGCCGGAGTCAAATTTAGACCTTGAATTGGAATCCTGTGTGGAACCACTTGCCATGGGACCTCAACTTGCTTGCAATAGCCCCCACCCTTGGGAGAACATATTTGGTCAGAAAAGGTCAACTTCGTTTTCTTCTACTGAGTTTCAGGGAGGTTGGCTCTTAACTGTGAGAAGTATGAAAAGTGTCCAGGACATGAAAAGTGTCCATCTCAACTCTTTATTATCAGCCCCAAAAATCTCAGGGATGGTCTGTCAGGTGGAGCAACACCCCCACTTCCTTATATAAGGTCTGAGAGAGGTGAGATCTATAGTCGGAAGATCTAACTACCAGCCAGCCCAAGGGGAGTAGTCCCAGACCTTAAAAGAAGGCAAGGTGAGGATCCTGACTGACAACTGAGGATCCAAATAAAACCAGGAAACAGAGGGCCCCACTAATTTCTCAGCACTGGGCATTACCTGATACATAGATGGACTGACAAACTCATGTGCAGTTCTATGTCCTGGGTCCCTGAGAGCATTACAGTGTCAGCCTCAGAGTAGCAGAGGGGAAGGTGCCCAGGCTCTGGCCATGGTTGACGTGAGAATTTGGAAGATGAACTGAGAGGATCCCGCATGCCTCGACAAAGGGGGCTACACTGACATTGCCTGCTGTCACCTGAATAGAGTCAAGGCAAGGCTGGTAGGATGCAGCCTGAGACTCTCTCTAAAAGTTCTTTGGTTTCTCTATGGGATTTTTAGGGGACAGGCTGACCTGGAGAGAAGGAGCTTCATGAGTTTCTAGAGTAGTACCCCATAAAAAGCTTTCGAGACAGCCTGTAATAAAGCCAAGGTTGAATCTACCCATTGAAGGTGTTCACATCTTGTCATTCTCCATCCACCAGGTACCCAAACTACCTCTTCATTGGTCTACACTCCTGTCTGCTGTCCTGAGCCACAGCCATCATGCCTCGTGGTCACAAGAGTAAGCTCCGTGCTCGTGAGAAACGCCGCCAAAACAGACCTGAAACCCAAAGTCTTAAGAGTGCTCAGGCAGCTACTGGAGAGGAAGAAGAGGCCACTTGCTCTTCCTCTTCTGTTCTGGCAGATGCTGCCTCCAGCTCTGCTGGTGCTGGTCCTCTCCAGGCATCTCTGAGTGACCCAGCCACCACCAGTGCTGCTGCAGGTGTTTCAAGTGAAAGATGCCCTGGAAAAGCCAAGGGCCATGGTAGTAAAAGTAAACATTCATCTGGGGCTTCAGCTTCCACTGGGATCCCTGGCAAAGATCTTCTAAATAAGAAGGCTACACAGTTAGTAGAGTACCTGATATATCAGTATCAAATGAAGGAGCCCATTAGAAAAGCAGACATGCTGAAGATAGTCCACAAATGGTGCAGGAAGGACTTCCCTGAGATTCTCAGGAAGGCCTCTGAGCACATAAATCTGTTCTTTGGCCTAGAATTGCAAGAAGTCAAGCCCAGTGGTAACTATTACATACTTGTAGACAGTCAGGGTGACACCAGCTATGGGGATCTGAGCAGAGGCTGGAGATTTCCTATAAAAGGGATTCTGATGCCTCTCCTAAGTATGATCTTCCTGAATGACAACTGTGCCTCTGAGGAGGAGATATGGGGATTCCTGAATAATTTGGGCATCTATGATGGAAAGAGTCACTTCATTTTTGGAGAGCCTAGGAAGCTTATCACCCAAGATTTGGTGCAGGAAGAATACCTGGTGTACCAGCAGGTAGGAAACAGTGATCCTCCATCCTATGAGTTCCTTTGGGGTCCAAGAGCCCACACTGAGAGCGGCAAGATGAAGGTTTTACAGTTTTTGGCCAAGCTCAATGATAGTGAACCCACAGCTTTCACAGGTTATTATGAAGAGGCTTTGAAAGATGAGGATGAGAGATTCCAAGCTGCACCCAGACCTAGCAGTCCTTCCAAGACCAGTGGGCACCCCAGAGCCACATCCAGTCACTGCTCTCCCCCTGAGTGACACCCCGGTGGAGTGTTCAATTTTTGGTTGGAAAGCCCTGTTAAGCAGTTTCTTAGTACATAAAATATTTTGTTAGCTTATATTTCAGGGTGGTTTTTGGATTTTTAAACGGTGTTCTTTTAGGTAGACTATTTACTTAGATTCAGGATTTAAGTTTATGAAGACAGGGTTCACACTTTAAAGGCATTTATGAATTAGGTATAAGTGCTTTTTTTAAAAAATAAAACTTAGCAATCCTTAATTACTTTTGTGATCCAGAACAAGTTAATGTGGCCTTAGGATAGGACTATCTTTTGAGATGTGAAATAAGTTTACACTAAAATTGTTGGGAGCAGTAGATAGATAAATATATATATGAATAGGTAGGTGAAGAAAATTGGCAAGTTAAAATTTTGATGACAGTTGACATATGATATATTAGTTTCATGTGGAGAACATATTGATTACACAAAGTATTCATCGCCATAAGTTTAGGACCCATATGAATCGTATGTACTTATTGCAGTGTTATTTGCTGTATTGCTTATGCTTTACCAAGCATAATCTATAACAGCCGAGACGTGTGTCCATCTGTCAACAAATGGATAAAGAAGATGTACATATATAAAATTGGCCACTACTTTTTTGCTTCACGACAGGTGTTCTTTCATTGTGTAAATTGTGAAGCCAGGTACCTGGATTTGCTTATGCTTTTCAAGACTGTTTGAAAATATAAATCAGTAAATCAAGCCTCTTGGTTCATGGTTTTTATTTCACAGAGTCATTAACGGGGCATCAGCTCTTACAAATTCTTCACATTTCCATTGGGGATGTTTGGCCAAAGAAGACCCTGCCCTTGCCCGTGCCAATATAAAACATACATGCTGTCGCAAAAGAGGGCAATATACACTCTTCTTCGTATGAAACAAGTACAGAGACTAAAGGGTGTGGAGATAGCATGTCACCTAACTTCCATTGCTAAGCAGAATTTAGTCCCATTGTGAGGACAATGCGTGATCTAAGGCAACACCCAGTCAGTTGTGTCACCCTAAGTGAAGTCTGAGGTGGAGTCTTCAAGTCGTGGTTGGAAATGCCTGTTGACCAGTGTTCCTTATGTGCACAGACATTGTGCTGGCTCCTGTTTTGAGGTAATTTCCAAGTAGTGTTCTATCAATAGAGAGTCAATTTAAGTTAAGAATATAAGCATATGACAGGGATCACATATTTCTTGTCTATATCAGGTTAAGGAGTGAGAGTTTTTTGTGTTGAAATGCACATGGAAAATCCTTAAATCACTTCAGTGATCCTAAAGAAGACATCACGGCATCCCATTCGGGATATGTTTGGTAATGGGAAAAAACTCAAACAAAAAGAGATCTGATGAGAACATAGAGCGGTAGAAGAAATGTAAGAGTTGGTCAATTACGGGTTTGCCTTACTCCATTCAGGGTTTCCTTTCTTAACTTTAAAAGTTACATACCTGGATATCTTTACATTATTCAAAAATGAAGGAGTTTAGGGGAAGGTGTATTGATAAAGCCAATAGGGAAGAGACCACAGAGAGATCCCGCAAAAAGATAAAATTGAACTACAATTCTCTGTACCATCTCCATGTGATCTTCATTTCTATGGTTCTCCTCCTCATCTAGCTGTCCTCTTAGTTTGCATTGGTTTTAGGTGTGCTTGTTAATAACTGAGTTTGCTGTCCTTTCACTGTCTAGCATAGATGGTAGGTAGAAAATATACAGGGGAGAGGGAAAGAATAGTATGGGAAATCCTGAATCTAAAGAATTTGAGACACATGGACATAAACAAAAGGGGGAGAATGGTGGTGGAGGGGTGTGCAGGGCAAAGGGGAATGAAGGGGAGAAATAAGACAACTATAATGGCATAATCAATAAAATATAATTTTAAAAAATTAAACTACAATACTCTGCAGCCATTCCACCATGGAGTACTTAGGTAAACGGAATCCCTAAGGTGAAGAGATGGAAGTACCCCCCATGTCCACTAACACAGTATGCACAGTAGTCACCACATGGAAACGACCTCAGTAACCATTAATGAATGAATGTGGGAAGGCAAGGTGATACTCCCACACACACACACTCACCCGCTCAGGGAAAGAGATACATCAATCAGTGGTAAAAGAGAATGAGTCCCGGGTATTGGGGACAGCACGTGCTAGGTGAAAGAAGGGGTAAATTTCAAATGGTGCTCCTTCATTAAAACTTTTGAAAAGACAGAGACAAATACTGTGTAGTATCCCTTATGGGAGGAATCTTTGAAACACACACTGATAAAGTAACTCACACATTGAAGATATTGATGTTTCCCCACTGGGTGGTGGTGGTGGAATGTGGTTGAAATTGGTGATGGTGGCCAAAGATGCAAACTTTATATTACAAAATTAATAGCCCCTGAGGATGCAATGTACAGGATGATTACTAGTAGTTATCGCTAGTGTATTAGATGTGAATATAGCCAAGACAGTATATCTAAATGACCTAATTATATGCAAGGAAATAAAAAGCTGTGGCTGCTGTAGTTCAGGGGAATGAGCTTCAGACTGTGAACCAAAATGTTGAGGGTTTCACTCCCAGCCAGGGCACAGGCCTGGTTTGCATGCCAGGATCCCAGTTGGGTGTGCTGGGGAGGCAACCACACATTGATGTTTGTTTCTCTTTCTCTCTTTCTCCTTCCCTTCCTGTCTTTATATATAAATAAAATCTTTTTTAAAAGAGGGAAAAAAAGAAAAGTGTAGGTAATTTTTTCAGTGCCTATGTTAAAATACTTCACTTTTGACAAAATGCCAGGATTTCATACATTCTACCCACAGACATTTAGTACCCCACAATTCCAAAGTCAGCAATTGGGAGTGGAGTCCCTGGGATTCCTAGTTCAGAAGACTTATGACTCTGCCATCATTGTTCCTGGTGGCTTTCTTCTCATGTGGAGCTCAGGACCTCCTTCCAATCCATGCATTTTGGTGGGAGCAGAATTCAGTTACCAGGAATTGAAGCACTAAGGTTCCCATTTTGTGCATGCTACGGGCTACAGATGATGCTCAGGTCTCTCTTAGGGCTTTGCTATGCTATGCAGCACCTTCCATCTTCAAAGCTAGGCAGGAGAACCTCCCTCTCACCCTTTGGGTTTCCCTCACCAAGAAAAGTTCCATCTGATTTAAGGGTTCACTTTATTAGGTCTGGGTCATGGATGATAATCTTCCTATTTTAAGAATAACAGATATCAGACCTCCATTATATCTGCCAAACCCCTCATAGCACCATCCAGATTAGTGTCTGATGAATTAAGTGCAAGAAGTTGTTTGTGCACCAGGACTCAGGAATCCAGGAGGTCGTCTTGGAATTGGGACTGCCTGTGTCCTTGAGGTATTTCAGTTATGTTTGTAATTAAGAGCTTCAACCTTTAAAGGTACATAAAATGTTCAACATTGTTATTTTGTGTGCCTCACAATAACTTGAGGTCTGAGGATGACAGATGAGAAAAGACTGGCCGTGTGTTAATATTGCTGAGGCTGGCAAAGGAGTACCTAGAGCACCAGTTACATTATACTCTTATACTGCAAATATCTTAACTACTTCTCACAAATTATCCAGAGCATGCAAAGTGAACCAAAACTTCCAAGAGAATTTCAAAGGCCTTATTTATTTATCTTTAGAGAGAAGAGAAGGGAGGGAGAGGGAAGGGAGCCATCCATTTGTGGTTGGCTCTCCTGATGCCCACACTGGAGACTGATCTGCAACTGAGACATGTGCCCTGACTGGGAATCAAACCCACGACCCTTAGGTTCACAGACCGTCACTGAATCCAATGAACCACAACGACAAGGAAAAAGACGACAAAAATTTTTAATAAAACAAGCACAATGGGGAAAAGGGGAGTGATTTAGAAGAACTGGTATAAAGGACACATGGACAAGAGCTAAGGAGGGTGGAAATGGGAGGAAGATGGGGAGCACGGGAGGTGGGCCGGGTTGAAAATAAAAGACAGAAAAGTGCACTTGAAAAATTATTTAAATAAAGCATATACATTTTTAAGTGATACAAACGTACTGTAGGGTTACAAAAAACAAGCATAACATAATATACACTAATTTAAAGTAGCTGAAAATCAATTTATTACTCTATTGCTTAAGAACATTACTTATTTCCCATATCACTTAAGAACATTGTTGCAAACATTTTCAAAATATTCACTTAAACTTGGCCACATTCAACAAGACTAAGTATTCAATTACCAGTGACACAGTATTCCACTTTTGAAAATTACCCTTAAGGCATACACTCAATCATACAAAAACATATACATGTTCATGTATCGATTGATTGAAAAAGATGTGGTGTATCCACACTGAGTCAGAGCTGCAGCCCAGACTCCTCTACTGCAACTATGGCCAGCTGACTGTGCAGGGCATGTCTCGCACCTCCTCCCATCCCTAGTGAGGCCTGAGGCAGAGTCTCCACTTTGTGGTTAAAGAAAGCAGCCAGTCTTGGACTTCCGGCCAAGATGGAGAGGTAGGAGGAAACACTGTGCCTCCTTACACAACCAAGTTTAAATACAACAAAGTTTTAGCAATAACAACGCAATCAAAGCACAGAAAATTGAACTGTACAGAAGTCAAACAGCAGTGGAACCACTCAGCCAGACCCATAAAGCAGGCGAAGGAGCGAGCAATGAGACAGACTGGGCAGTGAGTTAGGGACTCAGAGCCTATTCTATTAAAATGGCATTCATGATCGCTCTGTAGTACTGTTACTGTTGTTGCTGCTGTCCCTGGGCAGATTGTAAGGCAAGAGTACATTTTAGGGGATGGTGGAATTAATGAAGACAGGCGAGGTTTGTGTAAAACCATCACGTACGTGGGAAGAAACTGAGTGCTGGAAACAAAGTTTCAAAAAGTAGAGTAGTATTCAGCTGGAAAAACTCCCCTACACTCAAAATATGATTTAATGGGGTGGGAGAATTTACTCACAGATTCTTCTTAACAGCTTTCTGGA